CTGACAGGAGTCGATGCCGCCCTTCTCGTAGCCGGCGCAGAGAAAGATGTCAGGGATGTGCTCCCGTCGGCCGCCCTCCAGGAACATCTCCTTGCACTTGGCGTTGCTGACGATGGGCACCGATCCCTGCGCAGGACCACAAGATTTCATAAGCCAGGTGAATGATATGCAGTGTTAGAAAGACGAGGGACAGGATATTAAGAGAAAGGAGAATAGATAATAAAGGAAGTGCAGCAATCGGGATGAGAGAGACGAAAGTGAAGGCTTAATCTAAATAGGGTGCCATTACATCAAATCGATGCTAACAATGAATGGCAGAGAATACGGTAGTTAAGGTGCAAATGGTGACAAGAGAAACTGGTAACTGGAGCAGTAACTAGTAAATAAGGAAGTGTTATTAGTGAAAGCAGGGAGCTGTGAAGCGCAAATGTAAAGAGTGTGAAGCGGGACAGAGTGAAAGGCGAGTGTAGCTGATGAAAAAGGTAGGTATGATAAAACTCGAAAAAAAATGGAGGGAGCAAAAAAGCGTCGGAGAGTAGCGGGAAAAGACGGAGTACTAAATAAGAGTTAGGAATAACTACGCCTACTGCCTTTGACCCAACTTCTCTTCACAAACCCCACACTAGACATTTGATTCATCTAATTTGATCTAATTTACGGTTTCTTCTGAATAATTCTGAAATCGAGTTAATCGAATCATTCTTAATAGCATTAATAATCTTTCCGGAAATCAAGGAAAATGTAAACAGGTGAGTTAGGTAGGACTAGTAATTGATGTGTGGAAGGAAAGGTGTATGTAAAGAAAAAGCGAAAAGGAACGGTTGACTGAAAAATGTGTGGAGTCTTTACTGAAAGAGTAAAGATATGGCTTCTTGTTCTGCACATACAAAGGAAATGAGCACGTTGGTCTATTGCGAAAATATCTGAACGTATACTCAGGAGTTAAGAAAGATATTGATAACCGTACCTTCTGCAGCACGGAGGGCAAGCTCCCGTGCTCGGAGAGTCTGCCCCAGCCGGTAACTGTGCCTCGCTCCCCGATTAGCAGGTCGTTGTTGCCAGGCAGACATATGGGGGAGATGTGGGGTAGGAACTGCAGCGGTTTCTCCAGCTGAACCAACGCCAGGTCGTTCTCGTAGGTGAAGAAGTTGTACTTTGGATGAACCTCCTTCCTCTTGACGGCGCGCTCCACGTAGGGATGGGGCTCGTGCACGGATGAGAAGTCGTACTCGCCCACGCGGATGCGAATTTGCTGCACCAGCAGGCTGGGGATATAGGTTAATGTTTAACTTTCTGGGACTTGAACATGATCAGGCGAAAAAAAAATGACTGAGGTGAAACATGCACCACCACCACATTTCTCCTCCCCATACATTTTGATAAAAAGTTTAAGGCTTGCCAGTGATAGATTATATCATTAGTAGGTCTGACAAATCGACTTTGGACAGTATGCTGCAAAAGTTGAAAAAACAAGCATAACCCGAGATCGTTATGCGTAAAATCCGAAAGGAAAGCTTACTCATCGACGCAATGGCCCGCGGTGGCCGCCCACTGGTCGTTGAGAAGGGCGCCTCCGCAGCGGTGCGTCGAGGAGAACCCGAAGAAGCTGATACGCCGCACCGACACCTGCCACGGCCACTCGCCGAACTTGGCGTTGCTGCCGTTCACGATCCTGCCCTCGGGCTGCGGCGGGATGCTCGGGACGCCGCACTCTGCGCAAAGGAACGTTTATGCCACATTTCAAGATTCACCTCAGAAACAAATGCCGCAAATGCTGTGCGACTAACACGTCATTCTTCATATTTTTTTGTCAGCAGCACATACAAGGATATTTGGTGTGTGTGTGTGTGTGTATGTGTGTGTGTGTGTGTGTGTGTGTGTGTGTGTGTGTGTGTGTGTGTGTGTGTGTGTGTGTGTGTGTGTGTGTGTGTGTGTGTGTGTGTGTGTGTGCGTTTGTATGTATGTATGTGTGTGTGTTGTGTGTGTGTGTGTGTGTGTGTGTGTGTGTGTGTGTGTGTGTGTGTGTGTGTGTGTGCATCTTTTCACGTGATCGATGAACAGATGCCTGTTTCTTTATTAGCAATTATTTTTTGCATTCCTCGCAAGATCTCTACTCACCGTGCTTGGTGTGCGCGCTGCTAACCAGAGGGCCAGATGGTGAAGACGTGCTGGGGGTCGTCGTCGGAGGTATTGGTGTTGTGGTCGTTGTTGTTGTAGTTGTGGTTGTTGTTGAAGATGTAGTCGTTCTTCTGGTGGTGGTAGGCCGTCTAGTAGTAGACCTTTGAGTCGTAGTGATGGGCCTTCTCGTCGTGGTCGTGGAAGGGGGCAGTGTGCTGGGGACAGTGGGCGGGGGCGGCGTCGTGGACTCGGTGGTAACGCGTTCCTCCGAGGGGGTCGGGGGGGTCGTGTACGCTGACGCCCACCAGGGGCGCGTGGAAGGGCGATGCGGCCTGCGGGATGAAGCAAAAGCACTGATATGTGATGCAAAGTGAGAACTCAG